GTACATCTTCCATTGTTTCACTCGTATGGTTCACTGAATACGTTTCTATATTGTTCAAAACGTCCTTTATTAATTGCTCCGCGGTGGGGCAATTATTTGTTGACGTTCTCTCACTATTGTTTTGGTTCACTTCATTTTTAGGTGTTAACTAAGTTGATGACTATAGGCTGACGTACGGCTAATATACTTAAGTTACCACACTACGCTCCCTTATCGCGCGGAGACGAAGTCAAAGTTGTAACCAGAGCTACCTCGGATTCGATGTGTTCACCTGGGCGGTTCGAACCTGACCACCCTGAAACCTGCGGGCACGCGACTGACGAAGGTCGCTAGAGTTGCCTTCTCACAAAGCCATTCTATGGCCCCACTGAGAAGCGATGAGCTCTTAAATACACTGTCTCTGCCAAATACATCGCCACTGATAGATCGACGCCCAACGAGAAAAACCATGATAAGCTGATAACTATAACGTTTTGAGAAGATAGCCAGGGTTATGAGGAACTGAGAAACGCATGTATAGCGGCCTGTAGGTGTCGGCATTGCGCGGCACAATTTTTTGAAGGTATCGAAAAAAACGATGCCATTGGGGAATGAGTACACAGCAAATTATTGTTGTATATTGCTCATTAGATATCCAAAGCATGAAGGAGTTGTATACCATACACATGTGGCGTCTCAATCTGTACGCCATATTGAATTCAAAGTATCATTTTTTAAATATCCTCTTGTATTACAAGCTCAAAGATATTTTTTTGGTCTAATAGTAAAAAAAACTTTTGATTTCCGATTATGACCACACCATACCGTTTCTGAGTCTCTACATACCCGCCATACTGATTCAATGATGTCCACTTTGTCACTAAGCCATTTACGTACATATCATAGATAGAAGTATGGCGGTACCTTTTTTAGGGCCCACTGTGATCATTTGATAAATGGATGTATTACGATATTGATAAGACGTCATTTCATAAGACGCCGCCAACCTATATTTTTCAGAATTTTAATGAAATCATTGGTAAGCGATGGAAAAATAATTGTTTAATCTAAAAAAAATGAAGTGAAGGGTTGATATGCAACGTTTTATAACAAATTAGGAACAATTTAATTTATTAAAAAATACTATACGGTATTTTTATACAGTACTTTAAGATAAATTTATTTCTGATGTCTCTGATATTAATCTTGAATATTAAATGGGTTGATTATCCAAAATGGCCGGGCTGTCAAAAATGTATTTTTAACAGATACGGAAAATGTACTTTTTTGCCTTAATTGTCCTGATTTCTCTGTCTCTTTCTCTGTCTGTGGGACAGACAAGACGTGCTTTCAAACAATTAATTACAGGACATATGAATATGTAACATTAAAAAGACTGGCACAAAATTAAACTCAATTTCTCCACACCGCCTTGATATTTTCATTATTTTAATTTTGATAGCCCTGTTTATTTTGAATAATGAACGCAGAAAATATTCAAAATTAATCCAGGAGATATTGAGTATAAAACACACAATACCATTAATGCCATGTTTGAATCGAATTTATTCACAAACATAACAATATTCTGTCTAAAATAAGAATATCCTAAAACATATTTATAATTTGTGATATATTCCGTTTCCCTTTATTTGTGTACGTGTACGTCATTCTTGACCTGATTCTTCCCCATTTCATTTATGTTTTTTGCTTAATTTCAGGGGTTTGTTTTGCAAATGATAACGATTATTTTTTACGTTAATATGCTCCCTCTCAATTCGTAATTACCACCTTCTCCTTGAAGAGAGGATGTATATATTTACAATGGACATTTTTTCCTTCTTTGAGTTTATTTTGAATTTATCTTTTTTATTTTATACTTTTTTATTAATAATAACATATTTTGGCAAGTTCTTTCCCATTTTTTGTATATTTTTTACTACCTACATACATTTTTACTTCTTTTATTCAAAATTTCATCTCTGATAAGTGTGAAATTTTATTTTTAATACTTTCATTCAAAACAATGATATCAAAATTTGTTTTCATTTACAGGCAAATATATTATTTTTTGTTCACACCTGATGAAAAATCGTGCTTCAGTAGGATTTTTTTAAACATACATTGATTGACAAAAGAAAAAGGATTTCTGAGTGTTGAAATATTGTCATAAAATTTCCGTAATAACTTTCTTTTTCTAATATTAATACATATACAAAAGTCAGAATAATTACAACAACTTAAATATACTTCCTATACTTTAAAAAAGTTCACAGGGTTATTCCTCGCCTTAGATACATGACATCGGTATAGTACAAAAATATCGGTATTTCAGACATTAAACATAACTAAGAGTGGCGCATTTTGTACTTGTTATACATCACACTTGTAAAAATTTTACTGTAGAGGTTAATTTTTCATGTTCGAGATATTCAATCGGTATGGAACTTACAGACTAGTCTTGTAGACATTAAAATTAATGATAAAATATTTTTCTCGGGTGTGTACTTATTATAGTATATAACCTAGTGTCAAAGTAGACAACTTTGAGTTACGTAGAGACGCCGAAACGATATGGCGTGGTCATAATCGGCAATATAAAAGAATTTTCTATCATTAGACCAAAAACTTAGCTTTGAGCTTGTCATTCAAGAGGTCATTAATAAAATGACACAATTGAATTCAATATGGTGTACAGATTGAGACGCAACATGTGTATGGCATACAACACCTTCATTCTTTGTATATTTAATGAACAATATACAACAATAATTAGCTTTGTACTCATTCCCCAAAGGCATAGATATTTTTCGACAATTTCAAAAAAAATATGCAGCGCAACGTCGACACATACAGGCCGCTACACATGCACTTCCCAGTTCATTCAAAATCCTGGCTAACTTCTCAAAAAGTTATAGCTTTCAGCTTATCATAGTGTTTTTTCTTGCTGGGTCCCGGTCTACGACAGCGAAGAAGGAAAAAATTGTTAGACACCACTGTGGGCGCCGTCGCCTGAAAGAGAGTCAAGAGTTGAAAATAGGATGAAAAAGGGATGCCAAAACAATTTCACGCTGTTGGCAAGTGACCACGACACGGACAAGGATTTCCAAATGTGAATTTCGAATTAAAATAAGGGTCCTTTACTATATTGTAATCATTCGTCTGAATTTTTATGATACAGAAAATCATAATTTGCCACTTCATTTGGGTATTGTGGAGCTGCATCTGTCTCACTTCAGATCAGGTAAATTAGTACTATAACTATTTCTGACTACTATTTATGCGCGAATGATAGAAGAACATAATTTAGATTTTTTGTTTTGACTTGGATTACAGAAATCAAAGAAGATATTCCAAACCTCCATCCAACCATATAAACCAGGTCGTCGTATAAACTGATGCCGTGCGCCTTTGTCCAGAAGCGTAGTCCCACTGTAATGGCCGAGTCATTATAACTAGATTCACTTGTATGTTCATTCTTTATTCACACTTCGCTGCAGTTCTGCCTCACGCGACATATATAGGCCCCGATGGAGTGTCGGTGTCGGTTCCAGAATGTTGATTGATTAGTGATTCTGAGCGCGACAACTACTTACGCCATTTGTCCTGTAAGTGTATTACATGGGTTTTATGCGGGAGATGGCGGTGTTTTTTCCCTTGCTGGATGACAAGGTTCGTCGCCGACCTACGTCTGCTTGAGGTGGTTTTCACATCCATGTACCTCCCGCCAGCCGGGCATCGCCCCTCTGGGGCAAGTTGTAATCATTCGACCTAGTATATCTAAATAGTGTCGACATCGGGACTTGAACCCTAGGATCTCCCACTGGCAAAGGTGGCTCAAGGCATCAACTGATGCCAGTGCAGTATCTGTGGCTGGAAGGTTCTAGATCGAATTCAGTCGCTGTCTGGAGGAGAATTCTAGTGGCCGACTCTGCTGATCGGTATTTTTCTTTGGTTTCTCCGATCAATATCAGGCGAACGCCGGAGAAACACCTTAACAAATGTGCCTTGTTCTATCCACTCCTCTTATACTTATGTACATGGGCAACACTACCAAACATGTCGGGAGATCAGTTGGGGCTTAGAGCGTGTTCCGGCTGGGGTCCCACTGGTGGCAAATACCTGAATGGGGAAAACCCTGCAAGCCGACTTGTAGATCGGCGCTGGATCTCACCATTCAGCTAGGGAAGAACACCGCCACCTCCCATGATGAAAAAAATGCAATGCACTTAGTACAGGACTCTTGATCTTAGCAATTGATGTGCCTGGTATCGCGAATCAATCAATGTAACCTAGGACTTCCCAATCAGAGATATGGCAGTGATATCAGTTGATGCTCTATTATCAGTTTGTTCAGCTGGTATATCACATTCATGAGCACACGCCACCCACATTAATGAACAATAACAGTAATGAATGAATGACTAACTTTTTGAAGTTAGTCATTTATTCACGGTACAGTTAATACTTCCAATTAGACAAGTAAAAATGGACGTAAAAAACTGAATAATCCTGAATATAAGAAAAAACTATAAATTATCAGTAAAAATACACAAACATCTACTACAGTAACATGAATCAATTTAATTTAGATTGTTAGTTTTAAGCCAGAATATTTCATATTTATTTTGTTCTTGCAAACCACGTCCCCTTTTGCCCAGAACACTCAGGCATATGAATGGGCCATTTTCCACTACACTTCCAACCGAAGCAATCAGACAAGTCCATCCACTCGGCCAAGCTTTTACAACACATACACATTGTACACGTAAACTCTTTCGCAATCAATCCATGGATTTGAATTCACTTATTTACGGCCAAACACCTCTTTCGGCACCACGCCTAAAGAACCATCTTTATTCTCACTCTCGTAACAGAAATCTCGATGATCAACAACACAAATCACAACGAGTTAAATGAGCACAAAAAACGCAACTGTTCAACGGTATTTTAGCTAAGCACTTTTACAGCTATCCATCCCAACCTATATAAGGCTGCACCATTGGTTTATTTTGTTCCAGGTTCATCTTTTATGCGATGCTCTGCAAGTCAATCAGGAGCCTGCTCAAGACTGTACGTGCTATCAGCCATTAATTTTTGAAGCAACAAAAGAATCACCCTTTTTTGAAGAACTTTTCTGTCGTGTTGCTGTTCGTTTGTCGGCAACGAGTAAGGAAATGAAGGCACGTACGTCGCAGGATCATGATAAGGTACTTAGTATGGTCTAATTAATGATCACTTGCTAACGTGTTTATCAGTTTCAATATTTCTCATTTGGTACGTATCAAGATAAGACACGCCGTTTACTTTCTAGTTTTTAGCAGCGTCATCCAATGATATTTCCAGAACTGTCAGCTATGTGTACTTATCATTGATAGTTAAATATCTCATTTGAAGACCTCACGGATGAGTTCGGTGAATTTATGTGAGCAGATGTACAATTAATAACGGCAAACGTGATTGCAGGTGTGAGAAATAAAACTTAATTCTCTTGAATATGTTGTTATGTTCTCAATATTTTTTATCCATGTTCAAATTTCAGGTACCAAAATAGATTGAACACAATAATGACAATATCATTTGCTCTTGCAAAACATCAATTTTATGAACTCTCTCACATTGAATGCACGTTTTGGGCAAAGTGAAGACCAAGGGACCGAAACAAAATTATTATTTTGAATCCATCTTAATTCTCATGGAAACTTCTTTTGTGTGGCGATCTATTCTGCAATCGCTTTGGCATTACTTCAAAATGACGTCTTTTTCCTTTTGACCTCAAACGTTTTCTCAACTTTTTTACTACTTCTTTTTATCCACGCCAGAGGATATAGGCATGGCTATTCTTTTAATGTCTTTGTGCGGAGTACCGTTTCAAAAGCGGCTAACTCAAACCAATTTTCTTCGCTGGCAAGCATCGTCTCAATGATGCTCTAAAGCCCATCTCCGCGGTGTATGTGAGGGTCTTGGGGTCTTTCTCACCGCGTCTGTAACAGGTGTCCTTTCGCTGTGCAGTGAGAATTGCTTTTGTTCTAAACACATGTAGCATTGGACAGGACGGAAAGCCCCCTCACTTGACAATTCACACATCCGATTGATTCTCGAGTTTTGGAGGAATGTGTTTGCCTTTTCACCTAATTCAAAGATGACGATCTCACGCCCTTCGTTAGCTGTGTCAGTGCCGGAATTACCTACAAGCAAAACAAGCAGTTGCTTGGGGGCCCCGTCCATGAGGGCTTCAAATAAATGTGTATAACATATTTTTGTGACTAAAATAATTGTTACTCAAATAGTTTTACTGCTACAAAATTTGTATTTACATTTTGAAAGTTATTTTTAAAATATTTTAAATTATATTATTAAATATTATATATTATTAAAATATTTTATTGGGAAAAACTAAGAGTTTTTTTTACGGAAGAACACAATTTTGTGCTTGGCAACCCCGCGATACTTAAATCCGGCTCTGGGCTGAGGCGATCATTACAATTTTCATGTGTGTTAGAATTTCATCCAGCTGCCTAGGAAGACTCTAAGCCCGTCGCTCTCAGAGTTGAAGTTGAGGTCCTGGATCTCGAGTGTCACCCCCGGAGTCAGTCCTGGACGCCCCCCTCTCGTTTAGTATAGGGCCTGTTTCAGTTCATTGCCGTATTCTTCTGGGTTCTTTATGCAATCGTCCCATCTGCATGTCTCGGCTTTCTGGCGGATATGATCTCAGTTTGGCTATTTTTTCAGGTTATCTTCTTTTTTGTTTCCTCGAAAACTTCATCGAAAGTCTTCCCCTGGAGCGGTGTGATCGCCATCGCGTTTCGTCTTCGTTTCGCAAAGAGTTAAAGATCCGAAGATCACGAGGATGCACGGAATTACTAATTAAAGATTCCATAATTAGCAGGACCAAGGAACAGGCAAAGGGATATTTATCGATGTTAAAAAATTCCGCAATGCTGGACGTGCTGTCGTAACATTCATGTCTACTAGACGGTGTTTCTTTTGCCCGTGGTAGATTTCGACTGTTCTCCACATACCTGGCCACGTTTGAAATGTATTGGTTTGAGAATCATTTATTTTTCTCCAATGGTCGGCCAATCTGTTTTTGAAGACTGCGTTTCCGTAGTTTTGGTATTGTTCTTTTTCTTCTTCGACCCCTTCACCAGGGGCGATTCTGGTGAGTCATTTTCCTCCCATGTTCTTTGTGTAGCTCCTTTGAGAGCGTTTCCTCGTCGGCTCGGGCTCATTTCTCTCCAATGTCAGGGATCGCTGCAGCATTGCTTTGGGTCCTCGTTTTCTGTAACCGTATTTTTTTTCCTTTTCGTGGAATTTTTCAAATGTTTCCGGGACTTTTGACTCTCTCGTATGGTGTCTTTTGCCTCTTGGTCGTTAGTTAATCCGTTTTTAATGTCCTCATCCCTTCACTAACATTCTTCAGCTTCTGGCGGCCCGTTGCATTCGGATGACTACTGCCTCAAACGCCTTCAGGATGGCTTCTTCCGTCTGCTCCACTCTACCCCTTTGCTCACGTAGGGACAGAGCGAATTAATACAATCGGACATCACGAGGACTCTCGATACGTACCTGGGCTCAGGAAATTCACAACGCCGGGTGTGCTGTCGTTGCATTCATGTATACCAGATGGTCTATACTAGATGTAGTAGTGTAGATGGATTCCGTTGCCGGCGTTCGCCAGTTCGAATGGCATGGTGGCATTGGCCATGGCAATTGCCGCGGCCGCTAAGGAGCTGGAACACAAGAAGCGCCCAGGGCAACCTCAGGGACGCGGTGTGCAATGCTGTCGCATACATCTATGGTGTCACTAAGCCTTAATCATTTAATCCTACATACATAGCGTTGCGAGAATGGTGTAGAATAGCCAAAAACAGCACAAAACGCAAGAGTTACCAAATACTACGAGCAAACAGCGTGGACCAGGTTTACCAGCCTCAACCCAATAATGATAATGATTAGGGTTACCATACTTCCATTATGATAAAAAGAACACTTCTTATAATAAAAAAAGGACACTTCATATAAAATATTTTAATGCAATTATTTATTTTTCTTAAAGACAAACGTACTTACACTAACCAAATAAATACTTCTATCATTATTAATGTTGTATATTCAGGAACAATTAAGAAGACAACAGTCCTTATCAACAATGCAGGTTTATTATTCCGAATACAAAAGCACAAATCAAGTACAAGCCAGTTCACCGTTTTCCAGAAGAGGTCCCTTTCACAAACACTAATCATCAACCACCTGGAGAAATACCGTTACCAACACTGCACGTCAAATAGCCCTAGGCAACTCGTCGCTCACTGCGCTCGTTCGCTGCACTCGGACCGTCACTGTCTCCGGCCCCGCGGATCGGCCACTTTATAGTACCCAAGTCTGCGGGGCGAGTCTCCCCTTTTCCCGCGCCGTTCCGGCTCAGTGGGCGGCCCGTCCGCCGCTGCCGCCCTGCCCCCTAGCGGCGCCTCCCAGCACCTTCAATTGCTGGGCCCGACGCTCAGTCGGCCAGTGCCAGTGGGCCACCGGCCTCTCCGCTGCGCCGCTGCCACGGCCCTATCTGTTTATGCCATAACAAATCTTACTTTCACAATAACACCACTTCATTATCGTTATTGTCTTTTCCACTTTCATACCAGAAGTATGTGTTGAACGATGAAATCTCCAACCATTAATTAAAACTTTACTTTGAACCTTGCAACAAACGCTTTGAACTTTTAAGAATGTCATTAAACTAGGTTTGTTTTTGTTTGGTATCCTGCTAAAAAATATACAGAATTGAGCAGTATTAACTCCACACACCAGCAGAATAGTATTAACACTACAGAGAACATAATCTATAACCAGCACTATCACACAATATGTTGTACCAGCAGATGGCAGCACTGGCGCATTTCGTGGAGAAAATGGCGTAAATATAGATATAGTAACGTCGATATATGGATTCTGGCGGTTGTTTGGCGAGATAGTTAAAGTGAAATGTCATTTATTTGCACAACAAAAAAATTCTATGATGTCGGGGACTCGAAAAAGATGACATCATACGTTTAGATTGAATTTTAAAATTGTAGTACTCCCTTTCCAATGAAAAAAGAGGACATTTCGTCCTTTCTTGTAAAATCAATTCGGACAGTTTTTCTTTCTTACTTCCAAAAGAAGACATGTCGGAGTAAAAGAGAACGTATGGTTACTCTAATAATGATTTTGATGATGAAGACAGTAATAATAATAATAATAATAATAATAATAATAATAACAATAACAATAAAGTCACGTAGCCATAGTCAAAATCGCGTAGACATGGTCGTATTTGTGATTGTCCCTTCACTCATCATCATCATCATCTCATAATTCACACTTCAAGGCGTAAGAACTCTGTCGTACTGAGGAATGCAGCTGAAAAGCTGATCCTGAAAAAACTGCACACGTTAATTGTAGCGCATTACACACGTTGCAGTGCTGTGAGGGCGGTGTGGCCCAAAAGAAGCGACGATATTGAAGTCTGTAAGCCGATGTAGACTTTCTATATGTAAAATTAAGATATTCTTCCAGAGTTCCAAAACTTAATTGTAGAATTGATAACAATATTATATTTTTATTATAATCTTTATCCATACATCATTCAGTCATCTTTTAATATTTATATTGCAATGAGTTCTATTTATTCAATCTTTCTACATCATCCATGTATTTCAATATTATTCCCAGGCGGATAAACTACCCTTTTTTTTCAAAGGTAATGAAAGTTCTGCTCCATCAAGTCACATCTGTTCTGAATAAACAGCTACAATCCTGGAAGAAATTTGAAGAAGAATTACAAAATATAACGTATGAAAAAGTTGTAGAATCCTGGCAGTCTACAAATGATCAGAATTTAATGAAATTGCAGGACCTCCCTGCTGTAATTGAATTTAGAGAAAGTTTGAAAGCAGAAATAGAAGAGGTAATCGCCAAGCATCGACTGCATTTGCTTTGTCAAGGTACAAAATTTCTCAAAGCAAATTTACGACCCCAGGTACGTACTATAGCGAAAATGATCCACTTCGTTAATTTTACTTCTATTATGAATTATTTAGCCTAATGACGTTTCGAATATACGTTCAGCATCGTAAGCTAACTAGGAGTCGAGTTCCTACTGTAACATAACCACTTGAGCGTGAGGTAGCGTCGTTTAGTATACATGTTTCGTAAAGTGAATACTGTTCTCGCAGAATTGCATTGATTGTAAGGGAAGAATCTCATAAGATTCACAATATCATTGTGAATGTGCGACTCCTACACACAGACGCATGGTTCCAGATAACATTGAGCATCTCGCATACGCACTCCTACTTCTTAATAGTCGTCGATGACGAAACTCCTCGGGATCGACGTCATAATCGAACACATAATGGAGGCCATGAGCGGGCATTGCTAGCAAATGTGTTCTCGACATGAAGTACTTCGGCGGTCACTAGTGTTGGTATTGCTATTGCCCTAAATGAAAGTGTCTGACATTGTTAAGATATGCATTCAGAGTAACCTTCTGAAATGTTCCCCATAATTTCCTAGTACATCAATGATTTTTCATTACGCCGATTTTCTTTTTAAGCGAATCGCTTAACAATGTTTTAAATAATCATCAGTTGAGAAAACATTTAGATTAGAAATTCTTCTGTCTTAATCATGAATTCTATTACGATTTTCTTAAATACCACTATATTTGCAATATACCACTTTATTTTTTTATTTTATTATTAAAATAATTTTTCGGTATATTCATTAAAGAGCTGCTTGTGTAAATTTCATAATATTGTGTACTGAAATCTCCTAGAATTTTCCCATAAATTATTTCTTTCCTCATTTTCTCCCCAAGCTAAATATTTCTCTACTGAGGGGAAAATTCCCTGAATCTAACAACACTATCAATTCAACACTGTCTGACACTCAATTTTACTACACATATTTGAAATGCTGTTAGGTTTGTACTGCGACGTCTTTTTTTCTGTAAATGTCGATTAAATTATATCAAGACAAAAGTCTGTTAGAATAACTTTATTACTGTTATATAAATGTTGATGTTTGTATCCTATTTACTTTCTCACCTACCACGTACCTATGTAGTAAAGAGAAAGTATTGCAATGCTGCAGTGGAATATCACGATTTTTGTAAGAAAAATTCGTACTCTGCGGCCCTGATATGGAAAAAATGGATTAATCTGTTCCTGTAAATAGTATATCATTTTGTGTTTTCAAAATCCATGTTTTGGGGGTTCTTAATATAGGAAAATTGCTTTAAGGCAAAACGTCTTTCTGTTCGTCCATCTGTTACTAATACTAGCACCTTAACCGTTCAGACGATTTTCACCAAAATTGATAGTATCCGATTGAGGCCCTGCGAATCGGAAACGGATATTTTGATTTTTTGGGTACTTTACATGAAGTCTAACACTTGCAAAATGTCCTAAAAATTGCTCCAATGTTTTAAATTATTTGTTCTTGGATAGAGCAAATGACGGTTAAAAATTGGCACAGATTCGTTGAACCCAGAGAAAAAATATCCAAACATGTGAAGTCATTTAGTGGGGAAAATTTTGATATGTTTAAGTTTTATGTGAAGTACAAAAGTACAAAACGCGTAGATGTGGAATTACAAAATATTAAAGTTTTAGGTTGATTTTGACTACATAACATGAGTTTTCTTCTGCTTGCAGCCACAAGATTTATCCACTTTATATCAGAGTCCTACAATGTGAGTTTCCTTGATGAAAAATCGCCACTTTCCGCTGCAGCATTAGAATACTTTCGCTTTGATTCATAAGTACGTAGTAGGCAAGAAAGTAAAAGATTTTGCCTTCGTAATAATTTATAATGATTCCGGTTTGGGAAATGTTAGGGACAATCTATTGAAGTTTTGGGACACGTTAATGCATGTTCATTTGTCCCGTTAGTGTAGTGAACGTTATTATCCCGAGATGTTGCGGAGTCCTTCCCTCGCTGGGTACTGAGATCTGACGTGGACATACACGTCGGTTTGCGGGTGATTTCCCCCTCCACTTATTTCATCCAGTTGGTCGTCGCCCGAGCATGCTGTAAGCTCTCGACATGTGCGATAGAGTAGTGCGTGTAGTATGTGAGTGTATGAAAAAGGGGAGAAGATAGGCCGAGGAACAGGGAGGAAAATTCGTCATGTGTACGTTAGGGTACTGCTCCAGCATTCGGCTGTTATTGATCAGAGGAATCATGAAAACTAGCGATCAGAACAGTCGTCCTCTAGAGTTCTTCTCCAGTCAGCGGCTGAACTTGACCCAGCTATACACTGTAGATAGTGCCACTCGCGGGAACTAGAGGTTGAGGCGCATCAGAAAGCGGCACTACTGGTATCTAACTCTGCCGGTGGGTTAAGCAGTTATCTCACGCATACAAATTTGGTTTGTTCAAGAAAATTTTTGAAAATAAACTACATAATGGAAGCAAATGGATAATATTTGTTTACAAAATAGCAAGTAACTGAATTGTTTCAGAAAATAAAAAAGAGGTTTTGGTACATTTACCTCTCTCCAAATTATACTGTTTTTCACTATGGAGATTGTGGTGAAAGTGAATCAGAAGATATTGAATGTTCTTCTAAGATGTCTGTCTCCAGTATAAAAGAACTCCTGGTTGGCAGGAAATGTCCCCATGTCAGAGAAAATAAGTAAGTATGTTTTATGAAAATGTATCATTAATTGAACAAAATTGTAGTTGTTTGGTCAAGTAAAAAAAACTAAACAAAAATTACATTTTTAATTGAACAAAAGTTAGAAAAGTTAACAGACCTATAAAACTACGCTTGACATGCGCAAAGTGCAGGGATTTATTAGGTGATTACTATAACCTAAAAACATTGGATTTGTTACATAAATGCAGATTTAAGGAACAATGATTGTTACATGACTTAATATTTGAAGACAATTATTTATATATTAATATTATTTAAATATATTAGGAATATTATTAATAACATTTTATATTTAATATTTATATAGAAGCCAAGTATCTGCAGTATTGAGTTATACTCGTATTAATGTAGATATACTCGCAGAAGAGCTGTGTTTTGCGTACAGCACAAACTCAAGACGCAATTATCCAATTAGAATCTATATTACAGACGAGGTTTATTTATTCTGCAAGAAAAGCAGGATTGTTAGCAATATTATACAACCAGTTGAGTAAGAAAATATTCGGGTTGATCTTCGGAAAACACTTTTAAAACAATTTCAATCACAAGAATAATCAAGGTTTAGGTTTGAGAAGCACCTTCGATTACGCACCTTCACCGAGTATTTACCTGAGTGTACACCAAGGTGTTGGTGGAGACCATTGTATTTGACTGGGATTGTGTAATAAAAAATTAGTAGTTAACGAAGGAAAAACAGTTTCAATGCATTTTTGCATTTCAAATCAGCAATCGCATGCTCCATTGCAAATGAACAATATGCAATTAGCTGATGTTAAGGTAACAAAATTTCTAGATCTCTTAATTCAGGTAAATCTCAAACGGAATGTACATATAACAGAATTAAACACTAAATTAAGTACATTATGTTACGCATTCAGAATTCTTTCAAATTCTCTCAAACTTCATGCCTCTCGTTGCGTGTATTTTGCAAATGTACATTCCCGCCTGAGATATGACATTATATTCTGGGTAAGTTCAACATGTAGTACGCAGAACTTTAGATTGCAGAAAAGAAAATTATTCGAATAATGAAAAAATGACATCCGCGTGATCCCTGCAAGCCTCTCTTCATTGAGCTTGGAAACTTACCATTGCCTTGCCTATTTATTTATGAATCTGTAATATTTGTCAAAACTGACTTACTAAACGATGTGAACATATTGTCGTGCAATATTGATATTTATAATTACAACACGTCGTAGAAATCTCGTTCATCAAATGTCAGTATCAACAGATCAACGCCAGAAATCCACATACAATACATGTACGTTACTTTACAACACATTGCAAGATGACATTAAATAGTTGAAGTCGGTACAAAAATGTATGAAAAATAATCTTTATTTTAACAAAACAGTGATATATATTGAATTAGTTTACATTTGTATTGTATTTTTTTAAACGATTTAATATGCTTGTAACAAATAATGTACTTCAGCTTCCGGGTCAATGATCCCATCTCGATTAGGTTTTTGCCCTGTTTCCCTGATACGAGGGTTGCCTTTTATATTTCAGGGTTAGAGAACATAAACAAATATTAATCATCGAGAATCACTTTATTGTTTTTCAAAATATTCCCCCAGGAAGTTCTTTACACTTTTGCATGCGTTTGAACCAATTGTCGAAGCACTTTTGTCACTCTGATTGAGGTTTCTCCAAAACATGCATTCTGAATGCAGCAACCGCTTCTTCAGGTGTCGAAAAACGTTGACCTCTCAGTTTGTTTTTAACGTACGGGAATAAAAAGAAGTCATTCGGTGCCAAGTCAGGACTATACGGCGGATGACTCATCAAATCGATGTTTTGGGTGCTCAAAAATGCAGTTGTTTGAGCCAATGAGTCGCAGTAAAGAGTGATCCGTCATCTGCAGTTGGTTTTCCTGATTTCTTGGAGGACAGCTGGCCAGAAAATCGTTGTGTACCACTCAGAATTGACTGTTCTGCATTGTTCTAGTGGTACGATTGCGACATGTCCAGTTTTTTCGAAAAAACAGGCGACCATCTGTTTGGAAGTGCTTTGTTGGATTTTGCTCAAACACCCATACAGTCGACTGCTGTTTACTTTCGGCTCATACGCGTAAATCCACGATTCATCACCTGTCACGATGTCATAGATGAGTTTCGAAGCACCGCGATTGTATTTTTTGAGCATTTCTTTCGACCAATCGACACGAGCCTTTTTTTGAGCGATTGACAAATTGTGTGGGATCCAACGCGAACACATTTTTTTGACAGTTAAATGTTCATGCAATATTGAATGTATGCTAGTCCCATTCATGTCTAAGGTTGTGTCATTCTCACGATAGGTCACATGACGATCTTGCAATATCAGTTCACGCACAGCATCAATGGTTTTCGGAACAACACTGATTTTGGACAACCTTCGCGAAATTCGTCTTGGAGTGAACTACGACCACGATTGAATTCACTATACCATCGATAAAGATTGGTCCTTAATGGAGCTTCATCGCCAAAAATTGAATTAAGTTCATCCATGCACTGTTGCTGAGTTAATCCACGCCGAAAGTTGTAAAAAAATAATCGCACGAAAATGTTCACGATTTAATTCCATTTTTGGGCAGGATGAATCTTTTAAGTTACTGTAAACAACACAAATAGCGCTCGTATGTCAAAACATTCTGAGTAGGTATAACCTCAAAATATCCAACTTTCGATAGAGCTGTCAGTTGCCAGATTGCAACACCAGGGTTGCCAAATCCCGAAACATAAAAGGTAACCTTCATATGTCTATGGAATTGACGGTCTACCGAGCCTTTCGTAACAGTGCAGCGACGACAATGGTTTCCTAAATTGACTCGCCAAGTAAGTAGGGCGATACCTTTCATCAGCAGCTGTGTATGCAGAACACCCTCTTCCTTCACTAGCCATATCTTCTATGTGCAACTTTGAATTCCCAGTTACTTGCGTGTTCTTGTGCGCTTACGTTGCAACTAATGCACCCCCAGAAATTGTTCGGAGCATTACTTGACTCAGTAGCTTTGTGAAAAAACTAACTCGGCGAAAATCAGGAATCGAATACCCTTTGGATAACTAATCCTTTGGACAATTTGAAGAAATTAACACTGACCTGAAATGTTATTCTGACAACTTTCACCATGTGATACAATGTCTTTAACTCGAATTTTATTTGTTGCAGGAATAATCGGAAAACCGAACCCGAATTTGCGTTTTCCTTAATGCTGGATCAGGAAGAGCCGGCATCCTTAGACTTTATTGCGCCTAACCAACAGATCTACGACTATTGGACAGATGGACTAAGCCATCTTTTGGGTTTGTTGACCACTTTATATTGTATATAGTAGTAATGATGCTAGTGGAGACAGTGGTGGTGATAGTAGAAAAGACTTGTACCTTCTATACAAGGTACCTCTGAACATTTCTAACTTTCAGTCGATATTAGTGCAGTCTTGTTGTTATTCATGTTAGTTTTCCAAGCTCATTCTAGGGAGTACTTGCGTTATGATCTATGTTTGTTAGGAAGGCATTTGATTCTTACAGCCAAATTTTGCGCTTTAGCACCGAAAGGTAGCATTTGGTTGGGTGGGTTTTTATGTTTGAAGATTAATGAATATATTGGATAGTGCATGTTGACCGTAATATTCTGACTCTATCACTGTAATTAGTTTCGTTTTAACACAACTAATAACGTAGCGGCAGGGTATTGTTTTGTTTGTAAGTTCAAGACATTGCTAAAAAGATTCAACAGAGTTATTCTGAACATATTTCAAGAGTTATGATGCTGTAAGATAGCAACAATGAAGATGATGAAATAGTGACATATTTTGAAGAATGTCGATAAGATTGTAATGAATCATCAATGAAATAATTTTGAAGAGGCGAGTTCCTGTTTGTTCAGTATTTACAGTAGAACAACAATGCCGATTATACATAGGATAAAATACTGATTTTGATTACGTAGGTTCTGAATTTCCAATGAAGTATTAAAAAAAGGTTTTCGAAATATTTCTTTATGCCTGTAAGGAAATATAGGGCAGTCATAAATCTAAAACTTCGTAGTTACGAAACTATCAAATGTAGTCAAATATGGTACCTCACGACGACAGAACGCGAAATATAATGCGAAGTAAAGGTTGTAAGTATGCTTCTAAAAAAAAGTAAAATTTTGATTTATTTTCTAAAATTGTAAGTTGATGGAAGGCTGATAATTACAATGACGAGATGGGAACATTTTCATAAACAATTATCTTCCTCACGTATTATGATATGAATGAAAGATTTTCGGTTGTTTTTGTTAAATCCACTCAAAAAAAGTATGTTCCCTTGATACGAGGACCATCATAAATCTCTGAGCAATTTTCCAAATTTTGATATTTGTTTCAAAATGGGGAAAAGGGTTATTCCATTCATATTACGGAAAGGGTTCAAAGGCTAAATAGATTCTTTATATAATTATAAATTTTGAAAAAATGAAACAATAATATTTAAGTTGTTTGTAGTTAAAATGAATTGAACTGTTTAAACATTTCCCCGTTTCTAAATCTTCAAAAGCTCTAGAACTTTATTAACATGCTTATCAAGTGAAGTCTCATTAAGAAATTCTATTATTTTTGAATGTACACATACAAAGCGTTCAACAGCCAGGACAGTTTCCTTCATGATGTTGAAGAAATACTTATTTTTCTGCCTGGAAAAGTTTCGGACATCGCATCAACTACTAGGTCATTAGCGACCACTATTGCTTGTAACGTTATGGTAACTGTGGGTTGACACGATAATGATGATGATAGGGGGTGAAAGGACGAAACACAATACAACCATGCCCGAGGCGGGACTCGAACCCGCGATCCTTCGGTCCGAGTTCGCTACGGCACTACTGCCTTAGCGATCTCGGCCAGCACGTTTTCTTGATCCTCCAGCTCCCTAATTCTCGCTCAGCCCGGCACAGCACAGCACAGCCCGGTTGAAAATGAGTTCTACTTGAAACGTCACGGCTCAGTTTGCAGTGATGCCTACCTTCGCCTTTTACAAATCGGACATCTCAATTTTCTTTCTCTTTTTCTAACGACCTCTGTGTAGCATGCTTCTACTTGTTAAACAATTATTAATTATTTCTTCAGAGTTTTAAAAAACGCGTTGTTTCTCATTGCAAATCTAGTCCAAGACTAGATTAGTCCAGAGCCAGACTAGATTAGATAGTCCTATTGTTCTGAGTTTTTGGTCTAAACTAGACTAGATTAGTCCAGTCCAAACCTGGTTTGGATAATCCTATTACTCTGAATTTTCTGTCGATGACGTTTACAGCACTGCACTGGGGAGACATAGACCGAACCCGTCTCTCCCCGCACTGTGGGGTGTCAAGAAAAAGTGCGCGTGTAGTATATATACAGCACCGTCATTTCATTACACCTCTAGCGATCCACTGTTTCCTGACACATGCTTCAGCGTCTTCAGTTAAAGAGGTTGCTCATCCCGATATGCTGAGTTGGTCTCTGTGTATGTGTGTCTGTTGTGTTGGTGTTAGTATATGTGCCATGAGCCCGCCACAGGCCACGAAGGAAGTCAAGGATACACGATAGGTCAGCCATCGGCTAGCTCTAGCTAACTATAGTTCCAACAAGCTGCTAAAAAAGTAAAAGGTTCTGAACGTCAGAGCCTTCCTCCTATGACGTGTGACTTCCTAATTAGCGGGAGTTTCCAATTGTGATTTGAAAAAAAAATTAGTAAGCACAATATGAAGTAAGGAGAACAGTCTTTGTTTTTTATACAATGTTTGGGTGTACTCCGCCTTGCAGCCTAATACATAGCTACGCCACTGGATATAACGCTTGTTGTTTGTTTTTATTTTGGTCGACAATCGCCATAAATTCAGCCCCTTATGCGACAGTCTGTTTCTCTACACTCTCGTTAATCAAAATATTTCTACTTTCCTATATTTGTACAGTAAATAACGTCATTGTTTTATGCCTTCTTTGTAAGCATTAGTTATTGAGCTTTTTCTTCTCAGGCACAAAAATGAAGAGTAAATCAATGGAGACTGATTTGAAGATGTTGTTGGATATGGAAGTGCGCCTGCATCTCTTAGAGTTGGAAGGACTGGATATTCCACATGATACTCCTATAATTCCTGAAGGGCCATCCTGCCCTGACGTACTTTTGGAATGAAAAATATCATAACTTACATTTCTGTTTTTGTACTTAATTGTCTTCAATCAAATGTCAATTAGTGTTTACAAATTCCATTATTCAAAAAGTTAATTTATAATATTCAAGAAGTTAATATTGTAGTATTTTATGTAAAATTTCATAGAACATAATAAAAACCACAAGTATATATATTCTTATAAAACAGTTGATTGTTTATCAAACCACTGTCGTTTAGTGTTTTCATGGAAAATGGTTGCTTAAAAGTAGCAGAGATTTAGAGGAGAAAGTGAAAGAAGTTTCTGAATTAGTGCCCAAGAGCCCATATAGGAGTACCTTTGAAGAAGCTTGGGGCACCGTTGAACAATGCGAAGTTTTCAAAGCATGGCTACAAATTTCATCTTTTTCAATAGAACATGCAATGTGTGCTGTAAAAAAGGAACGTCACTAAAACGACTCCATTTTCTAAACCAAAATTTAATGATTGAATCTTGCAATGATTTTCATGGCTTGCAATTTAATTTATCTTGCATCAAAAGTGAAAAGTCGCATTAGTTCTGTCAAAAAGTATCTGACCAAGGAAAAAATAGTTTTTCTCAGCGGTTCTGTATGTTTTTGAGGGTTTTAAATTCAAATTTGATATTTGCCATCTCAAAAAATCTAACTTCACAGAGAAAATTTAAAAAAATCTTAAAATTTCGCTCTGTTTTCAGTTCCTAAAAACACATTCGATTTGGCGAGTAGCAAGCAACCGCTCGACGAGTTCTAAGTAGTGTAGATGAGTTGCTGGCTATTTTCCAAGATATGAATATTTGGTACCCGCCTTTCCCAGCGCGTGTCGGTCAAATCAAAGGACACATCAAAGGAAGCGAATATTTGCCGAGCACATCAGCTGTTCGGGATCGGGCGAGCAATGTGTGGAACCGCCTTAAGGGAGTATGTTCGTTACCGGTGAATTACCCCCAAAATACTTTAAATGAAAGCAAAATATCTGTTCTTCAAGATGGTAGGGAAAAAGTTGACCCTTACTGGCCTAATGTTTTAGTAAAAGAAGTTTCTATAATATAGGCTCTTATGGAAAAATTATTACCGACATGTTATTGAAGATGTAATACGATGAAAGTACTTTTTCTTTTATTCAAAACATAGAAATTTTATTAGGAACCATATGGCATTAAATATAACATACCTTACCGGGCATTCTGAGGAATAATTGATAATGATTGCTGCGAAATTCATCACAACCCGAAGGGCTCTCGCCCTAGACGTTATGCTGTACAAATCATGCAATTGTCACCACGCTGCTTTTGGGGTACGAGTTAAAACCACCCCAACTTAAAATTTTGTACCACAGATAACCACAAACAATTTGGCGATAATTCACTTTTCATGTAAACAATGTGGACTAATATTCAACGCAGAAAAGAATATAAGTATGAGCTCCGAAGTCAACCTAATCTACATTAAGTATTGCCAGCTTATGTATATAAAAAAATCTTGCGAGAGAATAAATTTATTAGTAAACGTTATTTTCCGTGAGCAATTATTCAATACTTCTCTTCTAACTATTAACAAATAATTATTTAAATGCTCCGTTCGCGTTTGCAAGAAGCTATTCTTAATCCGTTGGTGTAAATGGTCGAGTGTTTGACTAGCGAGAGGCACGAACATACCACCTTAATACTACACAGTGCATGCATTCAGCAATGCGGAATGGCTGGCATCCAAATTGTATAAATACTATTTTAATTGTTATTATTAACACAACTCCTATAAAGCCTGTTAGTATTAATGCTTACCCCTTAATGCAACAGTTACTAAACGTGTGATACTTGTAATTCAATCACCACTTAAAACTTTAAACGTGTTAATCTCGAAACTTCATTTTTCGGGTTGTGCCAATATTGCAGCGCATAAACGATTTTAATGAACATCTTAGATGCAAAACGCTGATAACATATTTCATGATATTAAGGAGAAAACTTGCAGAGACACAATCATTTATCGTATGTGGCTTTCTAGAGGACAAGGCATTATTTCACACTGAAGATATGCAAAACATAATTCGATCATTCCAGGCATTTTGTTAATTTACATAAGGCTTGGTTAATTTTCCCCGTCCATTGTTACGTCGCTGCATACATTGGCTATAACTTTCGACAAAAATAAATTTCAGTAGATTTAATAGATTAAATGAGTAGTGGACATAAAATACTTGATGGTTTTAAAGTACTCTATTGCGCGACAAGCGGTGTTTGCTTCTTGGACTGTTTCACCGAAAACGCAACGAAACAACGCTCTGACAAGCCCCTTTGGCAGATAACGCACTGGGTGTCTGCTGTGAAGCGGCATCTGCTTTGAATTTCGCGCCCACAAATAACATTTAAACTCCATTTTCTTGAAGACAACACTATTTTCGGAAAAGCTGGATCTGCCATCCTCCACGAATATCAACATACAATCTGTTTTTTTTGTTGTTTTTTTTTGACATTCTGAATATATAATCGAACTTCCAACTTTTCGTTTGGTTTCGATTTTTTTCAAGAGATGGAAGAAGTTTCAGTACAATAGAATTTGCATATTACTTAACCGTTAACAATAATACGAGAAAGTTTTGTTATTTTTATCGACACCAGTTTTTTATTGGACAATTATGGGAAAAAGTGGTAAGGTTTCGTTTTCACGCCATACAATATTTGTAACACGTTCTGTAAAACAGACCAATAAAAATAAAATGTTTTTAGAATGTCTTCTTTAGTTTTCGTGGATTGTTTACATTATATGTCTATAGAGATGACGTCTCAATGTTTGGCGCGAACGTGTTGGGTTGTAACCTCTGCTGTGCCCGTTTCGTAGAGAACTACTAAATTTTGGGCTGTATTATGCGTCTGACGAGGTTTGCGTTTCTTGTCACGTTTTCTATTTACAGTGATATTTGCTTTTGCATTTGCATTTTCGGTTTGATTAATTTCAGGTTGCACATCTCGTTCTTAATATTACGATTACTTAAAATTATAAATAAATATAACAATTTTTATCATCATATTTTAGAAAAATTTGAAGTTTCCTATTCTGAAATTCAACGTTTATGGTTGAATATCCGTATTCAAGACATGTGTTTAAAATATTACTAGGTTATATTTAATGCCTTGAAATAACCTTTAACTTTTCTCGCTTCAGAGCAGAAATCCACTTTCGCCCTCTTTGTTCCGAGGTTCCTGTAATGCGTCTTTCCTTATTTATGAGAACTGTAGGAAATCTTGAAAAAACAGTATCTTTAGTCCCATTTCGCTCGAGCCCAGTACAACTTTCGAATCTATTTTAGAAAAAAAGATCATCCCACTTCGAGAAATTGTACCTAGATGAAACAAAAACGTTTTAAAACCATTATAGACAGAGGAAAACCTCCAACGCAGAATGATCTCGATATATTACAAGAAAATCTACACGTATACCGCATTTTAACCATTAGCTCGCGGCATCCAGCATCAGACATTTGCCACTCAGAGGCGACAGTGCTCAGAAGCTCTATAAGTCACGTGTTTTGGACATCTCAATTCAATCGGAAGAAAACCCAATTAACTTTTTTTTTTTAATTTCAAATTATCTTGAAGTGTAATTGCATCACAGCACCATTTTCAATAACAAGCCCCCTGTGGTGTAAATATGTAGCTACTGTCAGTTCAGAGCGCGCCAGTCCTGTGCAGATGTTAGCAGTGCCATTAGTAATCTCAACTGGCTTGCAAGGAATTCCCGACGTACAGGCATAAATCTGGCATTAGCGCCTTAATATGCGACTAGTATTAAACAAGAGAACGTTATAGTTTCTCTTGTTTAATAGGTACTGTTGTCATGAAAACTCTTTGTTTACGTTGCTACCAATTATGCATACAATGTTTAATCACAAGGCGTCAATGAAGATTTCAATTTTAGAAGCGATTTCATTGTTCCGAGGGTAGTGCTGTTCGGTTATAACTTTTTTCTTCAAGCACGTATATCCATGGGGAATATGATGTGAAATCACCCATTGCAACACAGACAAGATGAATTTTAACGAAGATGTGAATTCAAACGCAAATGAAATAAAAGTAAGTTTGAAGCAAGATGTGGATTTCTTTGCTGATTTAAGGTACGTTATGATACCTCATCTTTACCCATTGCATTTCACGTTAACAATTTTCAATCCGAAAATTCGTTAAGTAAGTATTAAATAAGTATGGAGTATCTAAACGTAGTGTAGAGTTTTGGGAAATGTTAAAATGACATGTAACAGACATGTAGTTGCAGTATGAAATGTGGCCATATTGAATGATGTCCAGCTGTCATGTAGAATCTTCCATTTGCACTATTTACTGAAGTACTTTACAATAAGAAGGTTAAGTCATTTCTGAAGGCATTAAATGCTAGTACTAGATCGGCAGTTTTCTCTATTTGATTATCCATATTTTCTGGTATAGTACATAGTTACCTATTCTAAAACTTCCATATCTGTGCATATTTCAACGTTTTATTTGGAACATGTTCTATAAAATAATACATACAATTGTGTTAGGATAAAAATGTTGAAATATACACTTATATGAATTTTAGAATATGTGAGAATACGTATTTATCCTGGCATTATGGACGGATAAGGGTAGTCAAATGGATTTCGAATCATTTCGAAAAGCATAATTCGGAAACGTATGACAAAAATTTGATCGTTATTGCTGAAAAACAAATTAAAAATATTCAGTTAAAAGCGTATAAGTCGAACAAAACGGTAGTTCGCCAGTATATTGGTATGGGAGAAGGGAAATCTTTATCCTTTTTATTAATGAAGCATATGCATACTCCAAATAATGCCCGCTATTTACTTTTTTGGCCCTAACCTTATTAGAAAACTTCGGTAATCAACTAGTGAACTTACTCTTTTTGAATATTTTTCCGCTTATATTATTTTAACCTAACGCTGTAGATGTTCCAATGTTCAATGGGCGCCATTACAAATTCTGGTGTGCATCATTGAATAGAAAGTAATAGTAAGAGATAAAAAGGAAAGTTTCACATTTGAGCATTTAAAACAGTGCTTTGTAACCCAATTATATGTAAATGGCCAATTATCAGAAACGTATTAAGTAACTTATTTCAGTAACCCAATAATGTTGTGTGTTTTAGTTTAAAATAAAATATTTTTCTACAGGT